GACAGCTTGCTACCATGTTCAATGAAAGAGAGAAAGGAAAGTTCCCGAGCCAATCTGAGCAAAATCCAAGAGGGATGGAGCATTGCAAAGTAATACGGACATTGAGAAGTGGCAAGAGCTATGACAACAGAGAAGTGGTGCACCATGAAGCCGAAGTGGAAGAAGAAGAGCTTACTGAAAGTGCACCGTTAGCTGCAAAGTCTCGATCAGAGGCTATTCTGTAGCAGGTATTCCAGATCCTAGTGCAAGTAACAAAGTGCAATCTCGACCCAACTTTGATGCAAACAAGGAAAAAGGCCTTGGTAGTTTATTTGCACCTTCTGACAAGCCACCATACAAGCCACCTTTGCCATTTCCACAAAGGCAGCAACAACGTTCCAAGGATCAACAATGCATTGAATTCATGAAGACGTTGGCTAAGGTTCAAATTAATTTGCCTCTATTAGATGCTATTAAACAAATCCCATCATATGCCAAATTTCTGAAGGAGCTATGTTCTAAAAAGAAAAAGTTCTTGGAATACGAGAAGGTGATTTTATCTGAGCAAAGCAGTGCTGTCCTCTTACATAAGCTACCACCCAAGAAGAAAGATCCGGGGAGTTTAACTATCTCTTGTACTATTGGTAGTCTTGATTTTCATAAAGTATTGATTGATTTAGGAGCAAGTGTTAACCTTATGCCTTATTCTGTTTTTCAAAAATTAGGTGAAGGAGAACTCAAGCCCACATCTGTGAGTCTTCAATTGGCAGATAGGTCCGTAACCTATCCTTTGGGTATTCTGGAAGATGTGATTATTAAAGTGGATAAATTCTATCTTCCAGCTGATTTCATTGTACTTGACATGGAGGAAGACAAGGAAGTGCCTCTCATTTTAGGCCGACCGTTCATGGCCACCGCCCGGACACTTATTGATGTGGAAGCAGGTACTTTAACCTTAAGAGTGCAAGGAGAGTCAGTTGTATTCAAACTCTTCGAAGCTGTCAAGCGTCCTTTCGAACATGAAGAGTGTTTTCATGTTGATGTTTTGGATGGGATTGTGCATGCAAACTTTGCCTCACGATCATCTAATGATGAGCTGTTAACTTGCCTCACCAACCATGATGCTACTTTATCTATGGAAGAAAATGTGGTGGACGTCATTGCTGCATTGGATAGTGCACCAATTCATAATCCAATGTGGCGACATGTTTATGAAAGCCTTGGAGTACCTAAGCAGCCCCTTCTTCCTTCAAGTGAGCAAGCTTCGAAGTTAGAGCTCAAGCTACTGCCGAGCCACCTCAAGTATGCTCATCTCGGGGTGAATGAGACCTTACCTGTTATTATTGCTGCTGATCTTAATGACACGGAGGAAGACAAATTACTAAGAGTTCTTCGCAAGTATCAAGATGCTCTGGGGTGGACACTTGCTGACATAAAGGGCATTAGTCTAGCTTTGTGCATGCATAGAATTTTTATAGAAGCTGGGACTAAACCAATTGTTAAAGCTCAAAGACGTCTAAATCCGATCATGAAGGAAGTTGTAAGAGTTGAGGTGATGAAGTTGCTTGATGCAGGTATTATTTATCCAATCTCGGATAGTAAATGGGTGAGCCCAACTCAGGTGGTTCCAAAGAAAACTGGTATTACTATGGTGAAGAATGATAACAACGAGCTTGTGCCTACAAGGATGACCACTGGATGGCGAATGTGTGTTGACTATAGAAAGCCCAATAACAGCACTAGAAATGATCATTTTCCGCTGCCATTCATTGATCAGATGCTTGAGAGACTAGCTGGTCATTCTTTCTATTGTTTCTTAGATGATTATTCAGGATACAACCAAATTCCAATTGCCCCTGAGGATCAAGAGAAGACAACGTTTACATGCCCTTTTCGTACATTTGCATACAGACGAATGCCATTTGGATTGTGCAATGCCCCTGCCACTTTCCAACGATGCATGATGAGTATTTTTTCTAGAATGGTTGAAAATATTGTTGAGGTTTTTATGGATGACTTTTCTGGTTTTGGTAATTCTTTCGATATATGTTTGGATAACTTGTCTTTGGTTTTGGAAAGATGCAGGGAGACTAATCTTGTGTTAAATTGGGAGAAATGCCATTTTATGGTTAAGCATGGCATTGTGCTAGGACATCTAATTTCAAGCAAAGGAATAGAGGTCGACAAGGCAAAGATTGAGGTGATCGCCAAATTACCACCACCAACTTCTGTGAAGAATGTGAGATCTTTCTTGGGATATGCTGGCTTTTATCGAATATTCATTAAGGATTTTTCCAAAATTAGTCGTCCTCTTTGTAATTTACTTGCTAAAGATGCTTGTTTTGATTTTAATGCAGATTGTCATGATGCTTTCAACAAATTGAAGGATCTTCTCACATCAGCCCCAATTATAACAGTTCCAGATTGGACCCTTCCTTTTGAGCTCATGTGCGATGCTTCCGATTACGCTGTGGGTGTTGTCCTTGGTCAGCGGCGTGACAAGCTCCCCCATGTTATATATTATGCCAGCTACACTTTGAATGATGCTCAGCTGAATTATGCCACTACAGAAAAAGAATTACTTGTAGTGGTATTTGCTCTTGAAAAGTTTCGATCGTACTTAGTTGGTGCTAAAGTCATTGTGTATTCTGATCATTCTGCTCTCAAGTACTTATTGTCTAAAAAAGAGGCCAAACCACGATTGATTCGATGGGTCCTTCTCTTGCAAGAGTTTGATTTGGAGATCCTAGATAAAAAGGGACGTGAGAATGTTGTGGCGGATCATCTCTCAAGATTAGTAAATGCAAGCACTGATGAGGCAGATTCATTGCCCCTGCAAGAGAGCTTTCCAGACGAGCAACTTCTAGCGGTTACTCATCAAGTACCATGGTATGCTGACATCGCAAATTATTTGGCATCTGGAGAAATACCATCAGAGTTCAGCTACCAACAAAGTTAGAAGTTCCTCTCCACTGTAAAACACTACTTTTGGGATGAGCCATACCTTTTCAAGCATTGCCAAGATCAAATCATTCGTCAGTGTGTCCCCTTAGAAGAACAAGAAAGCATTTTGAAGTTTGCTTACCACTATGCATGTGGTGGTCATTTTGGACCAAGAATGACAGCGGCCAAGATCTTACAGAGTGGTTTCTTTTGGCCATCTTTATTCAAAGATGCATACCTATGCTGCCAGGCTTGTGATAAGTGTCAAAGAGTTGGAAATCTTTCTCAGAGAAATGAGATGCCTCAACAAAGTATTTTGGTGATTGAACTATTTGATGTTTGGGGTATAGACTTCATGGGACCTTTCCCTTCTTCACATGGCAATCTTTACATCTTGGTAGCAGTTGATTATGTCTCTAAGTGGGTGGAGGCAATAGCTTCTCCAACATGCAAAAGTTCTGTGGTGTTAGGTTTCTTGCAGAATACTATTTTTCCCCGATTTGGAGTACCTCGTGCTATCATCAGTGACGAAGGTACGCATTTCTTAAACTGCACCATGGCTGCCCTTCGTGCCAAGTATCATATTCACCATCGCATAGCCACCCCATACCATCCACAGACATCTGGACAAGTTGAAGTATCTAATCGTAAGCTCAAGAGGATTCTTGAGAAAACTATCAGTTCATCTCGAAAGGATTGGAGTTTAAAGCTTACTGATGCTTTGTGGGCATATAGGACAGCTTATAAGACACCAATTGGGATGTCTCCTTTTCGTTTGGTGTATGGGAAAGCTTGCCATCTACCTATGGAACTTGAGCACAAGGCATATTGGGCTATTAAGAACCTCAATTTTGACTACCAAGCAGCGGGAGAGAAGCGAAAGTTGCAGTTGAATGAACTGGAAGAAATAAGGAATGATGCTTATGAGAATGCAAAAATTTACAAGGATAAGACCAAGAAATTTCATGATGCTCACATCCTTCGCAAAGAGTTTCAACCAGGTCAGAAGGTTTTGCTTTTTAATTCGAGATTGAAACTATTCCCAGGAAAGCTAAAATCACGTTAGAATGGTCCATATCGTGTTGTACAGGTCCATCTTCATGGGGCTGTGGATATCCAAAACATGCAAACTGGTTTTGTCTTCAAAGTTAATGGACATCGCTTGAAGTTATACAAGGAGTCTCCATATGATCTTGCCAAGGATTCCATCACTTTGAAGGAACCTGTTATTTGAATCAAACTGCCAACAGAATGTCTAGCTCTAGACAGTAACTAAAGCGCTTCTTGGGAGGCAACCCAAGCTTTCTATCTTTCATCTTTAGTTTGAATAATTTTAAATGTTTTTGTTCTATTTTTCTGTTGTTTTCTGGTTTGTGTGTTTAAGTCCTACTTTTTCTTCCTTATGCAGGTAATGATTTTGCAAATCTCTACCACAACTTCTTGCAAACTTTCTTACACATTTGTTTTGTGTAGTTGAATCATTATTCCTATAAACCAATTCCCATTTTAGATATTTGTTTAAGTCACATGCAGTAATATTTAGTTTCGTCAAATTAGTTTAGTTCTTAGAGTTAAATAAGTTAAATACACAAAAGCTCGTAAATTGTTTATATCAGTCCCTGAGGAGATCGACCTTGCTTGAGCCATTCTATATTACAAACACTTGTTCTCTTGCAAGAATTTTCTATGGTTTAACCCTTTGTTTTACAAGTGGTAAAATCGCTATCAAATCACAACATGGCCTCATAGCCAGTTTCAATTATTTGAATTTGGGCATGAAACTGTGAATCTATGAGCTAAATCATAGCTAGCTCGAAGCTCTATAAAGATTGTCGAAGCTCTGATACCATATGAAACCTTTATTTAACTAATTCAGATCAACAATGTCTGGATATGGAGGCTCGGAAGTGAGAACTCCAATTTTCTCCAGTGAGAACTACGAGTTCTGGAGAATTAAGATGGTGATGATTTTCAAATCACATGGGTTATAGAGTCTAGTTGAAAATTGAGTTATAACTTCCTATTTGAAGAAGAAAAATAAGGTTGAAGGATCATCGGAGGATGAAATCGATGAAGAAATGGCTACTGTGTTGATGAAGAACGCAAGGGCCCTGGGAATTATCCAAAATGCAGTATTTGATCAAATTTTCCCTCGAATCGCCAACGCTGAAACGACAAAGATGGCATGGGATCTATTGTATGGAGAGTACCATGGTGGTGATCAGGTTAGATCAGTAAAACTTCAAAACCTTAGCTGTGAGTTTGAATATGCTAGAATGTGTGATAATGAGCCTTTATCTGGGTATCTTACAAGACTAAATGAGTTCATTAATCAAATGAAAACATTTGGTGAACCATATGATCATATATGTTTGGTTATTGAGAATACAAAATGCTTAGAGACTGTAGAATTGCAGGAGGTTGTTGCAATCTTAAAGAGCCAAGAACAACAGTTCGATTTGCACACTGTTGATACAATTGAGAGAGTTTTTGCCTCACTCTCTAAGAATTCAAAAGAGCAAAACAAAAGCAGTGCTCATTCTGGTCCATCCATAGTTCAGAAAAATTGGAATCCCAAGGGTAAGAAGTGGGAATCAAAATCCAAGTTTCAACAGAAACCTTTTGAGAATACTTATCAGAATGTGAATTCAACTCAACCAATGAGTCAAAAGGTTACCAAACCTCAATGCAAGGTGTGCTCTAAGTACCACTTTGGTGAGTGTAGGCACAAGGGGAAACCTAAATGCTTCATTTCTGATAAGTTTGGGCATTCGGCTAGACAGTGTATTGCTGGAAAGACGGTACAAAAGACAAACAGTGCAAACTAGGTGGAAGTGATTGGAAATCTGTTATATGCCAACAAAGTAATTACTGAGACAAAACTAATGGAGAATGGTACATTGACAGTGGTTGCAACAATTATATGGCATGGAATATAGAGCTGCTTGTTGATATGAAAACCAATGTTGCAGGAAAAGTTCAAATGCCAATTGGAGATCTTGCTAATGTTGCTGGAATAGGTTCTTTGGTCATTGACACAAGCAAGGGGAGAAAGTATGTTAGAGAAATGATGAACCTCCTTGGTTTAAAAGAAAATTTGCTCAGTGTTGGTTAAATGGATCAACATGGATACTTTTTATTATTTGGTGAAGGAATGTGCAATGTGTTTGATTGTCCATCATTGGATTGTTTAGTTATTAAAGTGAAGAAGAAAGTGAATAGATGTGATCCATTAACCTTTCTACCTGAAAATCAAATTGCAATGAAAGCTTGTGTCACTTATTCTACTCAGATTTGGCACAAGAGACTTAGACACCTGCACTTTGGTTGTCTCAGGCAATTGAGAGACAAAAATATGGTTCATGGCTTGCCTCAACTTGAAATAATGTCTGTGAAGATTCCAATATGGGAAGCAACACAGAGATGAATTCCCAAGGAATCAAGTGTAAAGAGCCAATGCTCCACTTGAACTTATTCATGTTGATTTATGTGAGCCTATGAAAAATGACTCAATTGCTAGAAATAAGTACTTCATGCTTTGATGTGAAATAAAACAACACTCAAATTAAACCCTCTTATTGACAATTGTAGTAAAGATATAAGTAGGGATCGTTCTAGACTGGGGATTAGGAGGATTGCTAATCTACTTAAAACTGACTTAAAAACATAAACTAGGCTTAAAAACACTTAACTAGACTCAGAGAACTCAAAACAAACTAAAAAGGCTCAAAACAGCACAAAACAATCAAATAGGCTCAAACTAGACACTAGGAGGTGATTTGGACGAAAATTGATTTTAACTTGACTCAGAACACTTTAAAATACTTAAAACACAAGTTTGGACAGATTCTAACTAATTTGACACAATAAAGTAAAGGGGATTGGGTTTTTGACGAATTTAAAGTAAAACAAGTAAACTAAAGACTTAAACAGATTTTGGCACGAATTGGGGTAAATGGATGGGTGATAAGCTAGCTAGAGGGTTCTTCTCTACATATGACATACTTGCATACAAAACGATTTCCAGTTGCTTTTCCAATAAACCATGAACCTCAACGCCCCAGATTAACCGTGAATAGCACTAATTAACCCTCAGATTTTCCTTAAGTCATTGAATTGGATGGATAACGCATCGGCAACCAAATTATTCTTCAATAGTTCCCTACATGAACATCATAATAGAGATACAATCAAAGATCATTAAGCTTTGTGAAAATCATAAGTATTGACAAGGCATTCATAACTATGAACAACATGATACTCCTGCCAGGAATTCACTTAACACGATTGTGACTAGCAACCTTCACTACTTATGAATATAAGTTCATAACGATTAGGTGAAATTCCCTTATATTCTAGCATCAAACCCCTGCATGCAAATTAAGTATGCATCCTTAATTAACATACAAGAATAAGTTATCAATCAAACAGTTAAGTAAATTGAATTCACGATTTATAGAATCACAACTGGAAGTAATCAATTCATATTGCGAATATGTTCATGGCTTTGAATTTCCCGTAGCTAAAACGAGTTTAGCTCCTCATGTTCGCAAAACAAAGATAAATAAACTTAGAAATTGAAAACAAAAGATTGAAAACGCCTAAAAATGTTCCAGCAACCCAACTTGAAAGGCAAGCACATCCAAGGGTCCTCCTTCTTCTTTGTTGTGGCACAAGGTATGGGTGAAGGTTTTTGTGATGAATTATATGGGAGAATGGCTGAAAGTATGAATGGTGGTGAATAGATGTGTTGATGGATCATGGAAAGCTGCGGCACAAGCTTAATTATATAGCAAAATATGTCAAAACCCTAAGGAATTAAGGCTAGGGTGCGGCAGAATTAAAGGGAAAGAGAAAAGAAAGTTTTAATTATTTTAGAACGATTTTAACTCTAAATCCACAAGGAAAAAGGTTAAGTCAAATTAGAATCCAAGGGAAAAGGGAAAGAAAAGGGTATGTGCAACAAGGAAAAGGAAAGGGTATGTGCAACAAGGAAAAGGAAAGGAAAGTGGATGCCTTGCACGACAAGGGAAAGGGAAAGGGAAAGGGAAAGGTGGTGCGGCATCCCTTTGTGGCTGGGATTAGGTCCTCTAGAACCTTAAATTAAGTGTCCTAATATCTTTTGGAACCCTCCTTGTGGCTGGAACTTAGTTGGATTAGGATTAGGAAAGGTTAAATCAAAATAAGGTAACTTGATTAATGTTTCCTCTTTTCTTGTTGAGTTTCCTTGTCTTCTTTTGTCTTGAATTTATTTCCTTCATCTCTTTGCTCATTCCTAACCTCCTTTGGTCTTCAATTTTGTCCATCCACCTTGCTCCATGCATGTGCTATCCATTCCAAGCCCAAAAATGCTCCAAAATGCACTTTTTTGCTACTTTAGCTTTTTGAACCTACAAACACACGAAAATAGCTTAAAATACTAAAATAACTATGAACTAACAACATAAATGCAAGAAAACAAGCCAACTAAGTCACATAAATATGCTCTTATCATGCTTTTGATAGATGATCTTGCCAGAATGACTTGGCTATATTTTTTTAGATACAAATCTAAGCATTCAATTGTTTTAGAAAGTTCAAAGCTATGACAGAATTGCAAAAGTGGATTCAAGATTAAATGCTTGAGAAGTGATAAAGAATGAGAGTTCAAGTCATCTAAATTTGATTTGTTCAGTAAAAAAGAAGTGATACAAATACAATTCACTCTAGCATACACTCCACAGCAAAATGGAGTAGTGGAGAGGAAGAATAAAACAGTGGTTGAGATGGCAAAATCCATGTTACATGATAAGGGAATGCCATATTATTTTTGGGCTGAAGTTGTTCATACATTGATAGGATTAAAAGCACACCACATAGTAGCACACAAATGTCCTATTGATTTTCCTTATTAACACTAAGATTTGTCAATTGTAGCATATGAAAATAAGGGTCTTTCCCGCAGAAGATTGTTTTATCTAACTACCTAAAATGTCACAAAAACTGGGTTGCTGTCCCTACTGACCAGCCACCGAAAAATAATTATTAGACTGACTTATACATATCTAAAGTCTACGAAATTTTATATGTAGATACTAGACACACAAAGCTACACTCACACAAAGTTTTGGGATTTTTGGAGTTGATTTTCTATTTAAATTAAATCGAACAAAAACAGGATAGAAACAAATTTTAAGTAGTTCATAAATTAAGAAAAACGAGTTAGGGGTATTGCTATCCACCACCAAATAATCATGCAAAACATGTTATGTTTCATTCAAATTTCTTTTATTTCCTGATGAAGATGCTCAAGTTGGCTCAATGTTAGAACTCAACCTATTACTCTTTCTTACGTAGTATGTTAAGAGAATGGCGTTTTCAACTTAACTTAGTCCCTAGCATGCAATCTAGAATGGCGTGTTCATAGATTTAACAAGTAGAAATCATTAAGAACAAAAAGAGTTTGAGTCATCACAAGGCATCGTAAGTACTGGCGTTGTCTTACTTATCCTAGAAATTAGTTCACATGTTAATTGCAATTAACAAGTACTACTTTAGAACATATGTAGGTCCTCATTCGACAAGGGCAGGCACACACATACTCATAGCATTAGAATCCTATATATGCTTACTACGTATGCATCCCTAGAAAACAAATAAAGAATTCATCAATGAGACAAGTAGTGAACCAAGTTTCATCCATTCATAAAAATAATTTAACGAAATGTCATAACAAAATTGCAATCATATTCGGGGCTTCAAAATAGCCCCTAACCTCTAAAAAATTAGTTACACATAGTTCTCAAAATAAACCAAAAGAAAGACATGAGTTTGAGAAGATAAAACCGAGAGAAGAGAATGCCAAGATTTCCTCCTTCCTTTCCTTCCTTTCTCAACGCAGCAGCCTTGCTTTTTTTTCCTTCCTTTCCTTCCTTTTTTTTCTATCTTTTTTTCTCTAAAGAACTCCCCTTTGCTGCTGCAACCTGCAGCCTTTATGCCCATGCTTGCTGCCCCATTTCTGCTCCATAACTCACCCCACTAACTGCCATTTAGTGATGACAATAAGTGAGAGGAAATTGTAAAACAATTGTAACTCTTTGGGCAACCTTTATGCCAATTACTCCCACTTAATCCTCATCTTTAATTCCATTTCATCTGATATTTGAGGAGATGCCAGCTGGCTTGTTCTTGGCTGCAAGTTTTATTGGATTTATTGCCTTCAATGCAGTTACAAACTGCACAGCGTCTTGGAAACCTTTCAGTGTTAAAACGGCCATAACTTCTTCTACAAAAATGATATTAACAATCCGCGAAATGCTCCAGAAAATAGACATCCGTAGCTTTCTAAGAATATAAGGCTCATCCTCTAATTCATTCTGATTTGTTCGCAACTTGCTTCCAAAGTCAGCTGACCTGCACAGGCAGTTTTGACGAATTTGTCACTTAATATCCAATTTGTGCTATTTTTCTTTTCTTTGCTTGACAAATCCTACTAAACACAAAAACAAAGTAAATAGCTCAAAAATATAAGGAACTAACTAAGACAAGACAAGTGAATTTGATGTAAAATATATATAAATATGAGCTTATCATACATCATTGTATATACTAAGGGTGTGTTTGTTTCCCTTCACTAGCCCTCACTGGACTAGACTAGACTAACAGTTAGTCCAGTCCCGTGTTTGATAGCAACCAGGACTACGTTTAATGGAATTAACCGGGACTCGCGTCGACTAAAACCTTCGCTAGAAGGTCTTGGCGAAGAACCCCCAGAATGAGCGGACTGCTAGTCCCGCCCTCCCCCTTCTCCTTCGCACCTTTCGCCCTTTCGCCCTTTCATCTTCTTCCTCGTCGCACCATCGCCCTTTCATCTTCTTCCTCGTCGCACCATCGCCCTCTCTTTTTCTGCTCCTTTGTCAGTTTCCAACCGCGTACTCTGCGTTCGCCACCAAAGGCCTCCTCGAGTGGGTGGATAAGCACTGCGTTCGCATCCAAAGGCCCCCCGCACCGACCGATTCTCCAACCCCAACAGCCTATTAATTAGGTTTGTGTTAATGGGGTTTGATGAATTTATGTTAATTTGGGTTAAATTTTGTTAATTTGGATAAATCTCGTTAATGGGTTTGATAAATTTATGTTAGTTTGGATAAATCTTATTGGATATTAAAATTCAATTATTGTTCTTTTTTTTTGTCTGCAGATTCTTGAAGCAGCAGAGAAAAAAATGGGAGTTTCAATTGTTTTGGAATCATTGGCTTTGGCATTGGAAGTCTGAAGGGATTCTTGGTGGGTTTCCATGTTTTCGTCAATTCAAAGCATGAGGAAGTGAATGTAAATTTTTATTATCTGAAGCTTTTGATTTCTAGGTTTTTGAGATGGTGCAAGAATCTTTCAGTGGAAATTATTATCCCTGTGTTTTTTGTTGTTATTCATGGTGTTTGCTCAATCGATTGGGTATTTTGTGTTTAGAGATTTTGGATTAAGCAAATTGGTTGAACTTGTCAGTCTTGCATGTATTTGATTGCATTTAGTATCACCTGCATCTCATGAATCACTGAATTTTGCAGGGACATTGTTCTATAGCTCTATGAGAGGTACAATTGCTCGTGTATGATTTCTTAGAATTGATTTAAATTCCAATGATGTAGTTAGATGTACGTAGTTGAAGGGCATTGAAGAATATGTGAAGGAACTCAAGTTTAAGCACAAGTAGTCGCAACTTGTAAATGTATTGATAGCTGATGGTGAAAAATATTTGTAGACTTTCATGTAAAGCAAAATCCTTTCCCCATTTTGTTTATGAGATGAATAATATTTTCAATAAAGCATCTTTTATATCTTAAAAAAAAAATAGACAAGAAAGTGGAAGTTTTCATAATTAAATATAAAAAAATAAAAAATAAAAATTTAGTCCTAGCTAGTCCGGCACTGCACCAAACACTTCACAATTCTAGTACTGCTTAGTCCAGGCCAAGCCAATCCAGCTTAGTCCCTGAAGCTAGTCCAGTCTAAGACAGTCCGGTGCAACAAACGCACCCTAAATAGATATCCTACAAAGGCTTTGGATAACATTACACCTTTTGAAGCCCACTCTCGAAGAAAACCAAGTATTACTCACTTAAGAATATTTGGTGCACTATGCGATGTACATGTTCCAACTGAACTTAGACATAAACTTGAGCCTAAAAGTTTCAAAAGAGTATTTGTGGGATATGCAACTTGTGAAAAAGGGGTATAGAGTATTTGATCCAATATCCAAGAAACTTGTCTTGTCAAGAGACATTGTTTTTTATGAAGAAACTGGTTGGAATTCGAAAGAAAATGCAGAACAATCTTCCCTCACTGTTGGAAGATTTGTTTATAACAGTTCAAGCATTGAAAACAATGGAGGTGTAGTGTTATCACTTGCATCAACTACACTTGGAAGAAATCTCAATATTGATGACTCTGGTATTCAATCTAAAGTTCTCTCCTGAGGTGAATCCTTTAGTAAAACAAGTTAGAACGAGAGTCTCACCCAATCATTTGATAATACCTCATTGAAATGGAGGAAAGTAGATGAAGTACTAGCACAATGCAATCTTTGCATCATGGATCCAGAGAAATATGAAGATGCTATGCAAGATGAGTCTTGGATAAAGGCAATGAAGGATGAATTCTTTATGATTGAGAAAAATGGTACCTAGAAGCTAGTTGATAGGCCAACTGAAAAACATGTCATAGGGGTTAAATGGGTCTTCAAAACAAAGCTAAATCTTGATGGTTCAATTCTGAAAAATAAGGCAAGGTTGGTTACAAATGGCTATGCACAAAAGCCCAGATTGGATTACAATGAAACCTATGCTCTAGTTGCTAGGTTGGATACTATCAGGACTCTAATTGCCTTGGCTGCACAAAAGAGCTGGAAATTGTACCGGTTAGATGTAAAATCAACATTCTTGAATGAAATGTTACAAGAAGAAGTCTATGTTGAGCAGCCTGAAGGTTTTGTCATAAAAGGGAAGGAAGACAAAGTCTACAAATTGGAAAGCTCTTTATGGTTTAAAATAGGCACGAAGAGCCTAGTATGGAGAAACAGACACTTATTTCTCACAATGTGGGTTTGAAAAGTGCTTGAGTGAACCAACATTGTACATAAAGACAAGGGGGACATGAAGAGTTTAAGGAGGACATGAAGAAGAAATATGAAATAACAAACTTGGGTCTCCTTCATTACTTTCTTAAGATGGGGGTAATTCAAACTAACTCAAGTATTTTCATCCATCGGAAAAAATATGCAAGTTTGGACTGAGTGAAGGAAACTTTGTAAACACTCCTCTTGTAGCAACTAAGAAGCTAACCAAAGATGATGGAAGTGGACCTGCAAGTGAAGAAATGTATAAAAGCATTGTATGAAGTCTATTATACCTCACTACCATAAGGCCTGAACATTATGTATGCATTAAGTCTATTAGATAGGTTTATGCACTGCCCTACTAATAGACACTATGGAACTTCAAAGAGGGTGCTTATATACATCAAGGGGACTCTAGATTATGGGTTGGAGTATGTGAAAGGAAAAAAACTTGCTTAGTTGGCTATTGTGACAGTGATTGGGGTGGTTCTTTGGAGGACAACAAGAGTACATCAGAATATGCCTTCTCTATTGGTAGTGGAGTCTTCTCTTGGGCTTCAGTTAAGCAAAGTTGTGTTGTACTATTGACTGCAGAGGCAGAATACATGAGTGCATCTGAAGATACAGATCAGGCAATATGGTTGAGGTTTGTTCTAGAGGACTTTGATAAGTTACAGATTGATGCAACCTCTCTTCACTGTGATAACACATCTACCATTGCCATTACCAAGAACTTTGTAAGAACTTTGTGTTCCATCAAAAGACTAAACACATAGACAGGAGATATCATTTTATCAAAAATGCATTGCAGGAAGGCATTATTGATTTAGTATATTGTCCCACAAACGAGCAATTGGCAGACATCTTCACAAAGTCTCTTGCAAAGGATCGATTTAGTTTCTCAAGAGTATGCTTGGAGTGAAGTCAGCTTTAGACTTAAAAGGGAGTGTTGAATTGTAAGTTTATAGCTGGCTAGGAAATAAGATGTGTATTGAATTTGTGTATTCACTTTAGTCTAAATACCAAGCATGCAACTCTAATATATTAAGGCAAACAATTCCAGATGTAATGATCCTAGCTGCTAACTAAATGTAAGGCTGAGATTGTTTTTGTGAAGAGAGAGAATCCACCTTGGATTCTATTGGCTATGAAAAGCACAAAGTGTGTGTGAATTGTAGTCAAACGAATGAGAATATGCTCACCTAGATTTTGAAGAGAGAGAAACCTTCAAGAAAATTCCTCCATTGTTATACTTCCTATTTTTCATGTTCTTCAACTATTATTCATAACCAGTCTTTTGCAAATCACAACACCGTTGATGATGAAACGATGGTGAGCTTGATACTTATTTGGAGAAGCAACTTATGAAGGATGTCAAAGCTTTGGGGATCATCCAGAGTGTAATGTCTATGGACATATTTCCTCGGATCGTGAACAGGAAACATCAAAGGTGTCTGGGATATGCTGCATGAGGAATTCAGAGGTGATGATCAAGTAAGGTCTGTCAAACTTCGAAGCTTACGCCATGAGTTTGAATATATGCAATGAAAGATAATGAATCATTGTCTAATTATCTCTCTCAAAATGTTTGAATTTTTTTATGGGAAGTGTTATTGGCACTTCGAAAATCTCATTTTACACTCCTCACAAGTGTATTTTTCTTTCCTAATATAGAAAGTTTGGAGTGTAGAATGAGATTTTTGGAGTGCTAACAACAATTCCCTTTTTTATTATAACCGTTTCTAATAGTAATATAATCAGGGATTTTACATTTGAGATTTATGATATATAGACATACACACACACACACAAAATATGGGGTTATAAATCTCATAAATTGTCAAACAATTAATGTCAAATATATAGAAATATACTTATTAATAGTAATATAATAAGGTGTACAAAATCAAGGGACTTTGACCAAAATTTGAATACCATTAAGGTTATATATATTAACATTATGTGACCTAAATAGTAATTTTATATAGGGCATAAAGTCATTTAGTATTAAATTTTTATGTGATATTTATTTAACAATGTATTAAGTGACAATAAAACAAACCTTTAAGGATTTATAGGCCAAAAAAAGACTTTAGGTTGCTTGGGGGCTCAAAGATCCAAACCCATACTCTTTGAAGTCCACATGGGTAAGTTTGAGAGAGCAAACCTAGTTTCTTCCTTTCGCTATCAAGCTAACCAACTTAGTTAGGAAGAAACCAAGCCCTAAGCCTTAGAGTCACTTGAAAGCCCAGCAAGACACTCATTGAATGAAGAGAGAAACTGACTTTCCTTTCCTAACTCACACAAAAGATCAACGTATGAAAGCAAGGAGACATGTTACCAGAAGTAACATGTGTGGAAGGTTGACCTGGGAAAGCAACACCTCAGAAAGAAAGTCCAGCGCATGCTTCACGAGGTAGCAGCAACTAGTTGCCTTGCACCAAAACGGAAATGTAGGGAGAAAGGGAGAAGACCAAGCCACAATTAGAGATTCCTTAGGAACCCTAGAAAAAGTCATTCACCTAAAAAACAGAGGTCTAAAGCTATTAAGTGGGGATCATAAGAACACAGAGGTTCAAGGGGAAGAACGTTAGGATGATTGTACTGCACTAAGCTAGGGAAATATCTCCATTAGTGCAAAAACCTTAAATCCCACAAAGCATCACTCTACAACTTTAGTATTTTCCATAACCTTCCTTTGAGTATTCCCGCCCTCAGAAACCTTGTTACCACCCTTAAAAAGCCCATATTATCCAACCTAGAACACCATGTAACCATGCAAGCACTCTCTATCTCTCATGCTAAACTAATAAACTTCTAGCTTCCACACCACCCCTCACTTGAGCAAGCTATTATTTGCTTAATCGTGCTATCTTCGAGTCATTGATATAATCGGAATATTTCTTAAGATGTGCTAATTCTTTCGAGATATTCCTAAACTTTATACAAAAGCGAACCAAAAGAGACAAGAGAACATTCTCAAAGCCCAAGCCCACCTTGACTTAAAAGTCCACACCAAGTATTAACCCGTAATGATTAGTTATCTATAAGTTTAGGGGGACGACATGCTTTTCTTAGATGATTAATGTATAACCCACCCATAATGTGGTTCGACTAACTCATGATCCAAGCTAATCGAGAAGTTTTTCTTTCTCTATTATACTTAATGCTTAGGCCAAACATTTATGAACAATTGCACTCATATTTGACCAAAAGTTCCTAACAACTCTGTTTAAAATATTGGGGTTAAAGAGACATGAACTCAAGCTTAAAAACCTATCCTTATCTTTTTAGGAGAGTTCAGGCTTCACCATAACAATATAAGGAGTAGTCTAATTCTCTATGAGCTCATACAAGGTTTGTTCTTCCACTAATACGGTATTCATTCTCAACAATATAAAATGGGTTCATGGTCACATTACATATCAATTCAATAATACATTATTATATGTTGAA